CCAAAACTTGCTAAGACAACAGGAAGCCAAAATCAGAGCATGGTTTACGTTGATTCTTGGTGAAACAGAACTGCTGGTTCAAAGTTTGGTTTCCATTACCAGAATATTGGTGTTGATAAGTCTCATCACCATTTAATGCTCATTAATGCTCCCAACCACTCCTGAACATTTATCCAAGTAATCCCTTCACGTGTGGCTGGGAAAACGCCTTTATGCAGGTTCTGGCATGGGTCTACACGCCACCGTCCACCTAAGAGGTCACTTCTCCCCAATCCACGCCTGCTGTTCCAGCCTAGGCTGAAGGCTATCTGTTATCACAACTTCCCAGGAATTTCTTTCAAAGAACAACTCAGCCTCTGTTGGCGCTTTAATGTTCAAAGAAATCCACAAGAGTTTTGCCTATAAATAGAGAATCATTGTCCACTGAAAAGAGGCGTCCAAAGAAACAGAAAAATTGCTAGAAGAGAAACAGAAATCTTTAAGCAAGAAAGTGCTGTGAAACTCTGCCAAAATCTCCAGTGTTTCATAACTTTGAATTTCTTACCTTCAAACTTCATCAAATACCCAGTTTTCTGTGTGAGCTAAAAACACCCTTTTCAAACTTCTGACCCTATATACGCACAGCCCTTCACCTACCCTTTTCAAAAAGAATCTGTCCAGAATACCATCAGAGCCAAAAGCTAGCTCACATCCACAAACTTTTTCAACAGTCAGGTAAGCACCTGCTGACCTTCATCACGCTGCTAAGCATCATCAGCTGTGCATACTCAAATAAACATAATGTAAATATCATATTGTTGCTGTTTGTGTTCTGAGGATTTTCGTACCTCAGAACGTTCTGAGCCAGTGTAGGACCTGCCTGTGACCTTGTTGGTTCTGCCCTCTGAAACACTTTGACATTTGCTGGAGCTGTTCCAAATATGTTTCCTGTTTTGTGGAATAACAACAAAATTGCAGATGTTCTGATTAGTACAGGGAAAAGCCAAGTGCTGACTTTGACGCTAGCACATCTGAAGCCTGTTTTGTTGTCAATAATATCAGAACTTCTGAGAGTTATTGTCTTTCCAGCAGGATCGGAACTTCTGAGATCCCCACTAACAAACTTCTGTCTTGCAGCGCAGGGGGGTCAGAACTTCTGATTTCCCCACTAACAGGTTTCTATTTTGCAGGTGCCAGAGTCAGAAGCTCTGACTCATACAGTTTAACCAAAAGGTTGATCATCTGGCAGCGGGCCTGAGTCAGAACTTCTGATGACCTCTCAGCAGCGCGCTGGCTCCCTCTCTCTTTCTCTCTATCTTGTTTTTTTCTATTTTCTTTTTTGTCTATTTTTCTCGTTGAACCCCCCATGTACAAATGTGTACCCCCACTCCCTAATTGTTGTAATAGCGTAGGATTTTATATTTCCGCTTCTTATTGCTAGTAATTAGGATATGTATGGCAAGATAAAATCAATGAAATAGAAAATCCTAATTCAAAGATAAACTCTTGTATGCAATAAAACACACTTGCACACTAACACCCCTAGGGTTACATCCACTTGTTGCCTTTCAAAAAATGGGCCATGTTACGCATGCAAAGTATCTTAGTAAAACAAACAAAATCAAAAGATCATAGTCCCTCGATGACGCTTTCGAAAGTTGCCTTACAAAAATGATCTTAGTCCCTCAAAAGAAAAACTAAGATGCTTTGCAACATTGCTATCATGGTCTATACGATGACCCGCGCCCGTCCCATTCACATCCTAACACAAGATGGTCCACCAAATACAATGGTGGAACAAAATTGTTAAAAGGGTTAAAACATAGAGAAAACCTTTGAGTAAATTTAGGGGTAGACAAACTCTTAGTTACTTACCAACTTGCAAAACATAAACACTTGCCTATTTTTCAAAACACACATCACAAACACACTTTCAAAATAACTTTCAAAAACATTGAAAACTTTTCAAAAGACATACACCTCTGTATACATCCCAACATGGATCATTACAAAGGTTGCAACCACATTGGCCTCTTTTCAAAACATTTTCAAAAATCCACACACAAAGCACCATTTCAAACAATTGAAAATCAAGGCAAGTTGATCTAAGCAAGTAACTAAGAGCCCATGGATAACCATTGATAGAAAGGGTGCTAATACCTTCCCTTTCTATAATCTACTCCCCGAACCCAAGAAAACATCTCAAAGGTTTTTGCTGTGCTTTTTAAACCTTTCCTTAGGATAAAATAAAAAGTCGGTGGCGACTCTTGCTCAACCGAAACATTTGCGAAAACAAACGCAAAACCTCAAGTCAGTTCTCCCACCGTATCACAGCATTGCTTTATTGTGTTATATTATTCATTGCGTTATTGTTTAGAGATCAGTGTCTCGACATCTCTTAGAACATCCGATATCTGACTACCAGAATTTCAACAATTGAACTCTCTCTTGTATTTAGAGTCACTTGTTTAACAAACAGAAGTTAGACTTGAGCATGACCATGGAAGTATTCTACCAAGTAATGTCAATTTATGCATTATCCTAAAAGTAGGTAAAGTTGCTATATTTTTCGCAGAGTATCAATTTTCAAGATTTTTTCTTGAGGACAAAGAAAAGCTTAAGTTTGGAGTTGTGATGGTAGTCATTCATAACATGATTTTTTAAGCATAATTTACATAAGTTTTAAGAGCTTTTACTTCTAATTATTTATTTATTTTCCATCTTTTTTGAAGAATTATAAAAAAGATTGATTTGTGCCAAACTCATCCTAACCAGATAGAGTATGCATTATTTTCATTGTAGAAGTTATGGTGATAAGAATAAATAAAAAACTAGACACAACTATGGATAAAAAATCAGACTCAGAAGTTAAAAGAAAAGACTTGGCAAATTTAATAAAGTTGAAATTACTAGCAAACTAAATGTAGTCTTTGCACTATTTTGACCATATATAAAACTTAATAAGTTTTACTGAAATGAAACTAACGAAATATAAAATTTAACATCAAGGAATATAACTTTTATGAAAATACATAATTTTGAATATTGGAAAAATGTGGTGCGTTGGCATAAAAGAATGACATGTTTGCTTAAATCTCAGCTAACATGTCAACAAACATGGCGCATAGAATGGGCAGCATGTCCTTTTTTTTGCAAGATCATAACACTTTCTATAAATTTATAAATTCTTTAAATTATAGGTTCAAATTTCATCATCAAATAGGCATATTTTGATATCATGAAGCTGGGAGAAGAATATAAATAATCAAGGGTTTATTCCTTTTCCATTGTAATGTTATTTTGATTTCTTTTCTTTTATTTTTGAATTGGCCTAATTTATGTGAATCATGTGATCCATTTATTATTTCTCATTATAATGATAAAACTCTTTTGTTATTCAATAATTATTTGTGCTTAATGCTTTTTGCTCGTTTACGAATTTTAATGAATCAATATAAATAGTATTTGAGAATTAATCGTAGATAATATGAATGAATTTAATATTATTGGAAGACCTCTTATATATGATGCTAGACATAGCGTATACTCACTTATGACATAGATATTTTAACATTTGTTCAAATATTCATCAGTTTTGATTTGGACCAAGACATTAAAAGATTGTAATATGACAAAGAGGGTTTTGTAACAAGAGATTGTGCATAACTACTTTGTTAAAATAGTCCTGATAATTGAAGATTCATTATGGGCTTAGGAAGAGATTAGCCATACAAAGAATGAGCAAAAGATTTGAAGGGGGCCTAATTGCTTTTCTCATTAGAATTTTCTACATTAGTTATATTTATTTACTTTTACTATAAGTACAAAAAAAAAAAATACAATTACATTATGCATGCCTCTCAATTTACATTGTTTACTTATTGCTTTGGATTAGTCTAATGACTAAAATTGTCTCAATCCGCTTCTACCTTTAGTATGGTCCAACAACTCTGATTCACTAACTTTAGCCTTCGGTCGAGTACGTATGATCGACCACACCACATGGCTAGCAAGGATAACGACGTCCTAACCACGCGTCTGCCCGCATCGATGTCCACCTTCAGGTATGCCTGACACTTATAGAGCAGACAACCAGGAAGTGCCCATAAACGCATTTGCGCGTACTATCCCTCTTGCTCGGAGCAACGACTAGTTATGAGTATGGCTCTCCGTTTTGACCAAGTCCTGACAGTCACCTATTTTTGAGGAACCTAATATCTAGGCCCAAAGAGTAGGGACCAATGGCTACACGTCGAGGGCATTATATAAACCCTCACACTTGTGAGAGCCATATATCCAATATTCACTCTAAAAAACCTTAATCACTTTCTTGTATCTCTTTGCACTCTTTCTTACTTGATCGCCAGAGTGCCTTGTACGTACAATCCCCCACATCTCCTCAAATTTTCAGTCAACAGACGTCATCTTCTCGACCCACTTCAAATTCTGATTAATCGATAAGATCACTTATCTAACCACAAATATAATCTCCAACGCCTTGATCAAATAGCAACAATCCATATGAGTACGATACTTACACTCACCACTGTTTTGGTTTACACAATTTACTAAATATAAAAAACCATACATTAATTAGTTAATAAAGCACTAATCAAGGGAGGGGAAAAAGTCTTCAAACAAGGGGATATGGAACAACCATACAACCTCATCCAAGGTCAAAGTCATTTCTCTGAATGAAAGATAGAAGGACAAAGTCTCATAACTTATAAAATGCTGGTAAAAAAAGTCCCATATTGAGACTAAGGTTAGACTTGATGATTCTAACATGTTTTGTCCCAAAATTGATATAAGAAAAAGGTGAACCAGAAATCTCCTATCCAATGAAATACCATAAAAGCCATATCTTGTAGCCAAGTCAGCACATACACTATCCAGATGAAACAAATTGAGTGGCTCAGCATTTCAATTCAAACTGTGGCAGCAGAAGAATCTCCATTTCAACCTTAACATGATCTATATTGGTGACCTCAAATCAAAGAGGTTCATCACTAAAACTAGTTATGGCTTCTTCAACCTCATCCTCCACTCTTTCTATATCTTCTTCTTCCACCCTTATTGATGCCAAACCTCCTTGTAGACAATCTACATCTCCGCACTGTGTGAGCCTTCCAACTCTTCCTCCACCTGTGCAGTCTCAAACTCAAACTCGTCCATGGAAAACCCCAGCATTCTGTAAGATGCTTTTGCTGTTATATATATCTAGCTAGCTAGGACTAGAAGAGAAGATAATTCAATTTGTGGTTTAACATATTCAGGTCGAAAGATTGCTCGCAACGTTATGTCCAAGGTTTCCAGTACCACCACAGAGACAGCCACAGCACCGGTTGATCCAGTTGCTACCTCAGCTGAGCAGCTCAGTGTTAGTGATTCTCCAGAATTTCTCAAGACTATTCAAGAAACAGTAAGAATTCAGGAAATTTAATTTGTTTCTTCAAGTGATGTAACTGTATCTATCTGTGTGGATTGTTGTAATAATCTAAACTTGCTGCATATATATGTGTGTATATATAGTGGGAGAAAGTTGAAGACAAATATGCAGTGAGTACAATAGCTGTAGCTGGTGCAATAGCATTATGGGGCTCAGCTGGTGTGATCTCGGTACGTTATTTATATCAATTAAATTATCCATTTGTATTTGTTCATTATTACTTTTGACCTATCTTGCATAGACACCTCTCAACATATGTCTCTCGCGTCTAGCACACACATGTGTCAGTATCAGTGTTGTGTCTGGTGTCCGTGCTTTGTGAAAGTTTATGTCTTAAGGAGAGACAATCACTTCATTAATTTCTATAACAGGCAATTGATAGGCTTCCTTTAGTTCCTGGAGCTCTTGAAGTTGTAGGAATTGGTTACACTGGGGTGAGTATACTTCATTTCAATTCAAATGTCTTAATAGTTATTATGACATAATAGAAAGTAATTTACATGTATATTTTTTTCTTTTCTTTTTTTGCAGTGGTTTGCATACAAGAACATACTTTTCAAGCCAGACAGGTAGATTTAATTCCTCTTCAATAATCTACGATTATAATTTGGTGCATTTAATAATTGAAGTTATTTCATAATTGCAGGGAAGTTTTGGTACAGAAAATAAAAGGAACTGTTAAAGAAATTACTGGGATCGATATCTAAACGATTCTGACTATACTTTGTACTATGTAATGTAATCTAGTCAGAAAATGAATGTAACTTTCCATGCATATATTTTAATGGATTTCAATAAAATGCCATATTCTAATGTTATCCCATTTGCGGTAAACAATTGAGATTATGGAACAACATAATATCACTGTATTTGTTATATTATCTGCATAACTCTAAGGATTTTTTTCATTCCATTTTGTTTGGGAACTGAGCTATGAAGAAAGGCACTAAAGTATATAACATGTTATCCCATTTTAACATATAATAAAAAATAATTATTCTTCGATTAGTATTCTCACTCAAGTTGACGCAGTTAATAAAATGTATCAATTTACCAACAAGAAACTAATGAAGTTGGTGAGACCTAACTTTCGTAAAAATATTCACAACTTACAATTGGTTGTTGATATGAGATAGAGAGATAACATGATCATTATAGCCCTCTTGAGTAGAATAATAATTCAATTTGTGTCCTCATGAAAAAGAGAACTTACAAAAATTTGAATAACACTTATATTGTAAGCATATAAAGATGTTTGATTTGTTTGAGAAAATTCAAATTCATACAAAAGATCAGGTGAAAAATAGTAGACATGTCTTATTCAATATAAAATTTAGAGATTATCGTTTCTTTTTTACAACGAAGATTCAGGAAATATACACAAATTAGTAATAGATCGCTTATAGTGACAAGATACATGACCCAATAAATATTACTGTAAGAAATCAATTTAGGAATTGTCCTAATAGAAAAGAATAAACCCCATTGAGAGGTACCTTTCAAGTAACGAATTCTACGACGAACAACAACGAAGTAAAGATGACAAGAAAAGTACATAAGCTCACTTACTTGTGGACATCAGATGATATGTGAGGCCTTGTTATGGTTAAGTAATTAATATTATCTATGAGGGGTTGATATAAAAAAATTGTTCAAAAGGTCACCCTCATCACAATGGTATTTGACATTACACTCAAGAGAAATATTCAATCGATTAGCTTATAGAAGACCGTTCATAGAGATCCACTCCATAGAATATTTATGTCAATGAAGAGCTGGAAAAAGGAAAAAGAAGAATGGAGGAAGTTGTTAAACCTACCACAGACCGCGTAGAACATGAAATTTTCGTGTCAGATAGTGCCCCCAATAGTGTCTAATGTTGAACAGGAGAAGGCCACTAATGTGCCTTTGAAATAAGAAGAGTTAGAAAAAAGAATCAGAAAGAGTGAATACTCATTTATCGTGAGATATTTAAGCCCTTAATAGTTGGATCATTCATTCAAGTTCTACTTAATTAAGATTGTTTTATTATGTTTCCTAATAATTTGTCTTAGTTAGTAATCTTTACGTGTCATGTTAGACGTTGTTGCATCACCGAAACATCTAAAGCTGAAGTATCACAATCTCCAAGGAGAACAAACAACCATTAACACCAATTTCGATGGGGAAAAAAGAATATATGAAGTCCTATAGAAGGATCAAGGAAAATCTGTGACCATGAAGATCAATGTAGCTTCTCTTACTGGGAAACTCAGGAGGATGGGCATCCATCCTCCTAAATATGGCTAAACTGCTCACGACGAGCTAGGAGAATAAGCAACGTCTAGCCCACCTGGTTATGTTTTCCTTTTTTCAATTCATGATTAAATCTTGTAGTTGAGTCATAGGTGTCGATTATAGTGTTTTGCTCCCTTCGATTTGATATTTTGGCCAATTCGCGTCCGGATGTCTGACTTGGTCCGAAAACTCGATTTTCTGAAAATTGTGTCTGATTCAACATCTGTTGTCTATTTTTAATGAATTTTTTTTTACTGTTTTCATAGTCTCGAAAATTTTCAATTTTTTTTCAAAATTCTTATTTCACTTAAATAGATTAAATTTTGGGTTTTAGTATTTTTTTTAAATTTATTTTAATTATATCTCTTCTTGCGTTTTGTTTCTGCCTATTTAGAACATTGTTGGTATTTTTGCTTTTGATAACATGGATGGTCAAAGAACACTAAGGAAGCTTGCTGCTCCTGATGTTAATTTCAATGGTTTATGTATTGAATATGCTGATGTTGTTGTTCTATTTGAGTTGAAATCCGATTTAATACACTTGGTGTCAAGGTTTAGTGGTTTTGCAGGTGAGGATTCGCATAAACATTTGAAGAAATTTCGAGTTGTTTGTTCTACATCATTGTGTCATATCCCAAATTTGTCCTACTAATTCATGATAGTTTTTATTTATTTATTATTATTTCTAAAAATTATTTTTTATAAAAAGTTTATTCATAAAGATATATAGGTTTAGAGTTTATAAAGAGAGGTTTATCTTGTAAAGAAATTATGGACATTTTTCAATCAGAAAAAGCACATATAACATTTTAGTCCATTTCAAGTATTAAAAGAGGGGTCCATAAATCAAATTATCTTTTTTTAGAAGTCCAATAAATTAAACATGTGATCCATTTCAGTTCTTAGATTTGTTTTAAAAAAATGTTTTGTTTTAATTATAATATTATTATTATTATTATTATTATTATTATTATTATTATTATTATTATTATTATTATTATTATTATTATTATAATTAAAACATGATATAAAAAAACTTAATTAAAAGTGTTGTTTTGTTTTACTAATTAAAATAAAAGTGTTAACCAAGAAGTTTTTTTTTCTCCACGGTTTATTTTCAAATCCGGAACGACCAGGCCCAGTCCAAGTCCAAAAAAAAAAACACATGTTCTAAAATCAAACAAACAGCTACTGTACCAATTTTGAGAAATAACGTACAAAACCAGATCTGCATTCATCAAGTAATAATCCATACATTCATTTTTTTCCAAAACAAGAATGAACCAATTACAGAATCAAAACCAAACCTTAATACAAAATAAACATATACAGAAATAAAATCAATCCGGAAATTGAGTCAAAACCAAAACGGAAACAAATTAATTTTGTACTGATATTACAGACATGTTGTTTTGCTTACTAATATAATTTGAATGTTAAACACTTGTTATTTTATTTTATTTTATTTTCTTTAAACAAAAAAGGGTTACCATGTGTCACTATAATAGTGGCCATATGTTGAAATAGAAAAAAAAAAAGGATTTGTGCTTTACTGATTATCATTAGTGCAAGTGGAATAGCCAAAGGAAACCGACCACCGCTCACGTATTACTATTATTCTTTTTTAATTATTATTTTATTTGTTATAATTAGTCATACTTAGAATTAGGGTTAAGTGCCAATTAGGCCTTGGGTCATTCTTTTAGTGGTACACCTAGTATATTATTATTAACACCTCTATTTCCAGTTTGATACTACCTCACTTTACTTCATTTTAGTTGATAACTTTTAATTAATATGATGTTATTAATTAATATAAAAAAACACAAAACAATCTAGTTAGTTTATTAGTTTTTAGGATAATTAACTTATTAATTATATAACTTTTGGATGCTCCGATTAAATTACATCACTGCTAAACAAAATTTCCCCTTATTATACATGACATAAACATTTTTTAATTTAACTAACTCAAACATTTTTTAAATAATACGATGGGTGAATTTTACATCCACCACATCCTCGAATATCAATTGGTCGATTCATCGTCTATCAGTCAATTATTCAAAATTAAATTTTAAAAATATGCAATAAATCAATGAGCGACACGTGGCCAATATCTAGCCACATGATGAGGAGACTTTATCAGATCCCCCCGCTCTATGTCATATCATACTCAATCACTCAACTCCAAAACAGCTAACCAACAATTCACATATTTTCTACTAACATAATTAAAATCTCAAGAACATTTTCGAAAAAAGGATTAAGGAGAATTACTTTCAAAATTAACTGCGAACTACGTCTACGCTCATATAATTTTCAATCCAGACAACGTTTTAGGATAATTCGAAAGCAATTCTTCACAATCCATAAAAAAACACCAAGCAAACTGCGAACTACGAATTAAGACTCTGATTCCTCCTAAGAGGATACGTAGGTATACGATCAAAAATCGTGACGAGTCCCCCTAACTAAAATCAAAACCCTTTTCCCCCTAACTAAAATCAAAACCCTTTTCCCCTAGTTAAAATTCAAAATCTTTTTCCCCTAACTAAAATTTAAACTATTTCCCTCTAATTAACATTAAAGACCTATTTCCTAAACATTGCGCTTTTAGACCTAGTATCCTTGTGAACAAGGTAGATAAGGGGTGCCTAACACCTCCCCCTCGTCTAGAACTGAGTCAAAATCTTGAATCTCTGAAACTTTTTAAGGTTATTCCTTTATACTTCCTTCCTTTAGGATAAAAATTAAGAGTGACGACTCTGATTAAAAAACCAGTTGTAACACATTGAGGTCTGAAGGAAACACAGAAGATCACATCAAGCTGAGAGCTTTTCCATTTGCACTATAGGGTGATGCCAAGGATTGTTTATACTATCTTGAGTCGAATTTTGTCACAATTTGGAATGATTTGAAGAAAGTCTTCCTACAGAGATACTTTCCCGACTCCTGAGCTGCATCAATCAGAAAAGAAATATGCGGTATTAGACATGGAAATTAGTAATTGGATGAATATTGGGAGAGATTTAAACAATTAGTATCCAATTATCCTCAACACCAGATTACCGAACAACTTCTCATCCAATATTTTTATGAGGGATTACTGCCAATGGATAGAAACATTCTTGATTCTGCTAGTGGTGGAGCACTTGTTGATAAGACTCCAGCTGATGCCAAAGCTTTGATTTAGAACATGTCACTCAACTCCCACATTTCACAACCATAAATAATTCGGTGGTACAAACAGAAGTTGTGAATGAGATTCATGCTTCCTCTTCCAACAAGGCTCTAGAAACCATAATTGATGAGCTTACTTCTTTAGTGAAACAGTTGGCAGTGAATAAAGCTCAAACAACAAAGTTGTGTGGTATTTGTACTTCTACTGAACACCCAATTGACACATGTCCTATTCTTCAAGATGAGT